CATCTTCACCTTGCGTCAGTTGTTGGAGCACCGCCACACATATTGGCGGCCCACCGTAGTCGTGTTCCTTGACATCAAAGGTGCCTTCGATTCGGTTGATCGATGTGCCCTTTGGAATTGTTTACTCAGGAAAGATGTGCCCGAGAAATATGTAAATATTATCCAAGCATTATATTTGCGTAGCACGGGCAGAGTGAGGGCTTACGGCAAGCTGTCGCCACCCTTTAATATCTCCAGCGGTGTGAGACAAGGATGCCCGCTGCCACCTTTCCTATTCAACTTCGCTATTGACGAAGTCATGGAGTTTGCATTTACAGGACATGACTTGGAAGGTGTGGAGCTACTCCCAGGAGAACGACTTCTTGACTTGGAGTATGCAGACGACATTGCCCTCATCTGTGACAGCTCCCAGACGTGCCAAGCCGCGCTGGACAGATTAGCACTGGCTGTCAGCCGCTTCGGGCTTTGCTTTGCACCATCGAAGTGCAAAGCCTTCCTCCAAGATTGGCAGGGATCGCCTCCTGCGCTGACCTTTGGTGAGGATCAGCTGGAAGTCGTTCAGAAATTCAATTACCTGGGAAGTTGCATCAACGCCATTGGGATCGAAGACGAGATCACGAACCGTATAGCAAAAGCTCGGAGTGCTTTTGCTAACCTTCGCCACCTATGGCAGCGGCGCGACATCACTCTCGCCCTTAAGGGTAGAGTGTACAATGCAGCGGTACGTTCGACCTTACTGTACGGTTGCGAAACCTGGCCCCTAAGGTCGGCGGACTTGAAGAGGCTAGCTACGTTCGACCATCGGTGCCTTCGCAGGTTGGCTCACATCTGGTGGGAACACCGCGTGAGTAACGAGCGTGTTCGACGCATTGTTTACGGCGAAGGAAAAGGAACTGAACCGCTCAGCACCGTTATTTCTCGCACCAGGCTCCGATGGCTGGGCCACGTGTTACGCAAGCCAGCCCACCGACTCCCTCGACGTGCGTTGTTTGCCCACCGGGGATGTGGGTGGAAGAAGAGGAGAGGTGGCCAAGCGATGACTTGGTCCAGAGGAATGAAGTCCATCACTTCGGAACTAGCCTCGGTTGGAGCTTCACGGCTCCCTTTTTGGGGTCCAAAAGACGGTGAACACGTTTGGCTGGATACACTTGCTGACATGGCAAGGAGCCGACCTCAGTGGCGTTTGTGCTGTGAGTTTCTTTGTCCCTCCCCATCCCTTTTAGTCTCCCCCTCCATCTACGATCTCATTTCCTAGGGTAAAACAATAATAAAAAAATTTTTCTTTATGCCTAGTAGCTGGCTGGAAGCTTACCGGAACGATGCCTATCCGTTGCTGGTAGCTCAGCTGGCATGCAACTGTTGTATCTATTTTTCCTTTGTGTATTGTATTATATGTATATATGTATTTCTTTCATGTATTGCGACACAATAGCGGAGGTGTTTTCCCACCTCTAGCTGATGTGTATAATGAATGAATGATTGAATGCAGGGGATATGAATGCGCAAGTAGGTCGTCTGAGTTCTTCAGAAGCTAAGTTTGGCAGCAATTATGGGCTGGACTCCGAACGGACTGACAACGGCGAGCGTCTGTTGCAGCTGTGTGCGGAGCACCGGTTGTTTCTCAGTATCACCTCTTTTAGACAGTGGGCGCCGAAGAGCCACTTGACGTCCACTTATAGCTCACCAGCGATGGACCCAAATAGATCACATTGCACAACCTGCAGGTGATGTTTTTCCCACCTGGATTGTCGCTCGTTCTGGAATACCTGCGTCGACTTCGATCATGCCTTGGTATGTTGTCATTTTTCCATGTACTTTACGCGGAGGCGCACCAAGCGTCTCCATCAATTGGCAAAGGAGGAATTGCCTCAGCCATCGACCAGGCAAGCCTACCAGGATACACTGCGTACCAAACTTTCGCTGACTTGTCCTAATGACACTGGGCGTCAGTGGAATAGCATCTCGGTCTTTATTCACGACTCAGGAGCATCTGCCTGTGGTACTATGAATCGTCACCGCACCAGTCGCTGGATACCCGAGAGATCGGTAACTTGTTGGAATCCAGAAAAAATTTCGGCCGACTCTGAGCACCATGGGACTAACCGGACGGTTAGGCGCAAGCTAAAGCGGAGCCTGCGTGCTGACAAGGAAGTCTGGCGGACTATTCGCGCTCAAGAAATGGAGGAGGCGGGATCAGTAGCCATTAATCGTAAGCTCTTCCAGCTGATCCGCACCAATTTCCTCAGGAAACGAGGCGTCAACGAGACTATCAGAGACAGCGCTGGTGCCCTGATTCACAATAAGGGGCGCCGTATAACTCGTTGGGCTGGACACTTTTGAGAGCAGCTCGGTTGTCCCCCTGCTTCCGGACCTCCTCCTACTCATGTGATGCAGGATGAGCTATGGACGGTTAGTTTAGAGACTCCATTGGAGGTTAAGGTCCAAAACGCGATCACAGCCCTCATTCGCTTTCTTGCTGCTGCCCTGGGATCCCTCTCGCTTGCACTATTTAAGGATGGTGGTGAGGTCCTCTGCAGAACACTGACCTCCCTGCTCGAACATGTCCGGAAGAGAGCGTCCCGACTAAATGGGATGGCTCGATTATAATGGCAATATACAAGAAGGGCAGTCGCACCGACTGTGTTAACCATAGGGGTATAAGCTTAACGCCGGTGGTGACAAAATTACTGGCCTCACTTCTTGTTCGTCATCTCACTGCGGTACGGGAGTCTTGGAGTATGAAACAGAAGGCAGGTTTCCGCCCAGGACGGGGCTGCATAGACCATATATTCACACTGCAGCAGGTGCCAGAGCAACACCATATGTACCGCAGACCGACAATGCCTGTGTTCTTGGACTTCAAGAGTGCCTTCGATTCAGTCGATCGATCCATTCTGTTCGAAATACTTGTGCGGAAAGGTGTTTCCAGGAAATATCTAAACGTTCTGCGTCCTCTACACTCGAACACTACAGACAGCGTCAGGGTCGGATAGCTTTCCGACAACAAGTGGTGCTCCTCATGGTTGTCCGATTTTCCCATTTTTATTCAACTTCCTCGTTTACTACCTCATGTGGCGTTCCCTTACGGAGCCTCACGATGCTGTCGTTGAAAGCTTAGTTAATCTTGATTATGATGTTTAACCATGTTGGAGCGGCGCAATGTCTCTGAATAACCTCACTAGAGTGGTCTCATTATGTGGTATGCGCTTCATACCTTCAAAGTGCTAACTGTTGCTGCAGTACCAGCTTGTCTGCAGATAGCGCACAGGACGACCGAAGAGGCTGAAACATTTCGTTTTTGTGGATCAGGAACAAAATGGACTCAGTATTGTGCCTTGAGGTACGCCGCAGTTGGTGGATACCATTCCGTTAAGTGGTCATTCACCTGTACCCGCCATTTTCTCCCAATGAGGAAATCATTGGTCCACTAATGTATTGCGCCATCAACACCACACATCCTCAGTTTGTAGAGGACTACAATTCCAACAATGGCCAAGATTTGCTTCCAAGTAAAATACGGCCCAAACCGAGACTGCGCATCGAAGTTACCCGAGCGAGTCAAAAATAATTCGTAATCACTTTAGCGAGCACTATACCCGTGGCTTATTGAGCAAGGCGCTTGGTTGACTGCCACTATTTGAGGGGTTCGATTCGCAAGCATGTTGTTCAGCTAGTGAAAGCAATCAAGCGCGAAACTGTTAGCGGAGTAAACCGTTTTCATGTAGATTACACCAAACAAGCTCAGAGCTGTGATCCATCATATGGGTACAACATGCTTCTTCACCGCAGTTAGACTACAACTACTTAAACTAGATCTTAACCTGGCTGACATTAAAGTCAACCGAGGCCACAATTGAGATTGCGTGTCGTAATCCAACACACACGGCGGGTGTCCCAAAACCCGAAAATTAACTTCTGACCGCTCTATCAAGCACTACTCGCGGAGCTCAGTGGCGTAGTACTCATAACAATAGCCGCCAAGGACCCTGCGCCGAGTTCCACTCCCAGCTAGACTACCTGTCGCAGAACTCTATCCTTCAGGGACAAATAATTTCTTCAGCAAAGTGAGCTCAGCAAAACTGAAGAATGTAGGAACCTCGATATGAATAACTGTCATTTCCATAACTAACGACGCTGCTGTACTCATGAGATTCCTCCTTTGAATCAGTTAAAGAAAACCCGCTCCAATGAACCAATCAACACGTAGACGAAATAGGTGTAGCTGTCCAATCAACTGCTCTGTTCGCAAGGGGCACCCTTACCACTTGCTTGCACAATCCTCTCACTACCTCTACCTGATGAGTCCAAACCATTTCGAAACCGTCGGTCGTGGAGTGCAGGGATGGGAGAGAGCCGTACCCAAACTTCAATTTGTTGCATTTGCTCAGTACTGTTGTTCTGTTGCATATTCCTTGTCAATATTCCGTGTTGGTTGTTGGAAATGCCCTGTGTGTCTACGCTTGTTGTGAATGTTGACAAGATTCCTACCGTCGAAAAACCGCTACCTCGATTATACTGGCTCCAAAAGACAGTTGGTCGTTGCTTGGGGAGACGATGTGCACAGTCCTCGTGACCGCGCTAGATCCATAGAGCGGTACCTACACTCTGGAGCGGACTGCGACTCATTCACTGCATTGTATACGCCTGGTACGCATGATTCACAAATTAGATAATCAGGAATGCTGCTGCTGCTGGGCATGTTGCAGGAGTGTGGACCGGCTACGTTGATGAAACGCGGCTCCCATCCACAAGCTTTCCATTCTTATTCCTTCGAGTTTACTCTGGATATCGTGTGTGTGTGCGTGTGTGTGTGTGTGATTGAACGCAAACCACCCATGATCGTTCGTTCGGCGCATGCATCCTGAAGGCCGCAGGGACAGGCAATTCGGGCACCGGATGCCACCAACCATATATTGCCTGGCAACGTCTGTTTAATTTTTCATCAAGTCTGTTTCTATTACTCTTGCATTCTCCGCTGTTCATTTTGTATCCTTCTCTAGCCATTTACTAACCAGTGTGGCCACACCGTTGTCGACGAAAGTGGACGAATGGCGCCGCGCGCTCGTCCAGCTAGAGAAAGATCGGGCCAGACAAACTAAACGGACGCGCACTGATTTGAAGCGATTAGTCTCCGAAGCAGCTCACTGGCAGAAGAAAATGGCCAAGTATAACAACTCCGGTTCGACTTCTCTTGGACCCGGCGTTGGTCACGGTATTCTCCCGTTAGGCGCCACAAAAGCCAGTGAAGTGGCTATACAAGCGAGCAACGCGATGCGTTTGTTGCACTCAAAGGCCGAGTTGTACGAAGCATCCGAGAAGTCCTCTATACGCAGCCTAATGCTTGAAGAACGAAAAAGATTTTGCTTTTTTCTTACGTGTCTGCTTCCGGTACTGGTAAGCCTGTTTTATACTAGAATGCTCGCTATATCTTGCTATTCTTTATTCTCGTGCATTTTAATCGCATTTCATTGTTATTCTGCGACCATTCCATACTCACAAATGTGATAATCGGTTAACTGGCCCACCCACCTTATCGTACCATTGGTTACCAGCTTCACCATAGCGTGTATCTTTACTGAAATCGACGTCGAAACATCCGACCGTTTGGAATGCCGTGGTTTGCACCAATATATTATTGCTCCACCGTCCTACTCTTAGGACAAATAATTCGCCGCTGCTGACAGTCCCCGCTTTTTGATGCTGTGGTGCGCTGCAGCGTCCTATAAATTAAAGGCAGATTTTAAACCCCCATTCTGACCAGCGTGAGTTCACGTTCAGCTCGTGTAACCGACTGAAGTTGGTGCTTTGTCTACTCCACTCCGCACAGAGTTGGTAACCACATGGCAATAGTCATTCACTGCACAGCAGTTCGGGGCGATGCACCAACTCATTCATTATTCTTTACTCACTTATCCCATTGCCGGTTGTGTTAGCCATTTCGCACTTCCGCACTGCGCTATGCGCTGTCACAATGAGACGACCTTATCGTGGTGCGACATTGAGCTATACTGAGTGGGGCCCTCGGACCCCTTGACGGCGATTCCTACCAAGTTAATCAATGGTTAGATGTCAGACGAACTCAGTCTCCTGATCCTTCAGATTAGGAATTGGGAATGGGGTGGAGTCCACTCCTGTAAAACCGGATTATTACAATCTTCCCTCTACCTTATTTGCTTGCCTTTGCTCCAAAGGCTTTGGGTGAGGACCCTGATCGTTTTCCAATCTATGTTCGGGCGCCCCGGCAGTACCTCCTTCCACGTACAATCAAGATTATTTCATAAAACGTCGATCACGTCTTACATCAGTTGTCGCACAGTTTATTAGTGGGTCGCTTTATCTACTGTATATATCAAGGCGGCATCCGGTCTCGGATTAGCATGTCACTATGGCCAGCCACAGGACGGCTGCGTCTACAGAGGAACCATGGATGGCTTGCGCTGCACCACCCACAACTCCATCCACACACCCCATATCCAGTGTAAACCCGAAGGAATAAGATCGGGAGGCATGTTGATGGGAGCAACGTTTCATCAACGGAGCCGGCCCATACTCTTTCACAGGCAAACACAAGCACGCTGTATTTGGGAATCAAGCGCACACAAGACGATGGTTGGACCGTAGTCCGCTCCACACTGAGTGCATGGAACCACTCTTCGAGACTAACATGGCCACAAGGACCGTGCACTCCGTCCCCTCCAGCAATGACCAACTGTCTCCTAGAGCCAGTATGGACGAGGTAGTGGGTAATAGACAGGTAGGCACCTTGTCAACATGCACATCGAGCGCAGTCACCCTGGGGATATCAAACAACAGCAAAGCACTTGGGAGAAAGATAACCAAGCAAATAAATGGAGTAATGCATTAAGAAACGGTGACATAACTCTTGAATTAATGAGCATACGAAATAAGTTGTTTACCAACGAATACCAGGTAAGCTCACAAGGTCAGGAAGTTTATTTTACGGAAATGCTACAAACACAAAAATGTTATCCAAATAACTACAAGTGGCTTAAGCGACGTGTGCAAGTGTATAGATGTGAGTGTAAGTAGGCATTTATATGGGAAAGAAAAGCATTAGGACAAAATGGAAAACCCACCACCTGAAATAAATAGAATTTATATGCAAACACGCTGTTAGTAAGTCGAATGCAGCGTACCTACAAACGCTGCGCCGGTTCTGTCTACATTTTCTGCAAGACCCGTCGTCGCTTCGGTAGTTTTCCCGAGTGGCTTCGCTCATGGCTCACTAGGCCTGCCTGACTCAGGCACTCGCGACCGCATGTGTTACAGCACCATGCGCTCGATGTCGATGGAGTACAACCCATCGGTACTTGCCGCTTCTTCTCTGCATGTATGAGGTTTTTTTCCGCACTTCGGCAACTGCCTTCATGCTTAGATCGCGCAATGCACGCCGATCAACCGCCTTTGATTCCCATGACCTGCAATCAAGATTAGAACGTGAGAGGCTCACTTTGGTCATGTCCTGGTAACGTAACTTTGGTTTCACCACATGCCCCTTCCCAATACTCAGCTGACCGTATAAGAGTTGTTTCGGTATCCGCGTCGAATCCATACGGCTCACATGACCGAGCCATCTCAGGTGTCTCAGTAAAAGTATGCAGTCCACTGCATACATCCCACTTTGTCGCAACACTTCCGTGTCAGCAACGCTGTCGCCCCAACTGATGCGGAAAATTCGTCGCAGACACTGCTGATGGAACCGCTCGAGATATCGCACATCCCGATGGTACATCGTCCACGTTTCACTGCCGTATAGAAGAACGGACAGCACCATGGATTTGTGCACCATCAGCTTCGTGCCAATGGTAAGCTGATGGTTGTTCCACACTCGGTACTCTAGCTTCCCGAATGCCGTTGCTGCCTTCGACACGCGGATACGCAGCTCACTGTGTATCTGCTGGTTAGTGGACATCATACTCCCAAGGTAGCAGAAGTGGGAGGTGGTTTCCAATATTTCCGCACCAATGCTGATTCGCGGCAATATTGAAGACTGCACCTCCGGTGAAGGCTGAAAGAGACAGACAGTTTTGCTTGTGTTGATGGTGAGCCCGAATTTGGCCGCTGTCGAAGCCAGAGCACTAGTCATGTGCTACAACTCATTCGCGCTGTGTGCAAACAATGTACATTCGTCAGCAAACAGCAACATACGGATAGTTGTCTCACAGACTAGAGTTCTCGCACCGAAACGACGGATGTTCAGCAACCCACCATCAATACGGTGCTCCACACGAACACCGTAAGCACGAGCAGCATCAAAAGCACAGGACAACATTGCATGAAGATATATATTAAACAGGACAGGAGCTAAGACACAGCCTTGCTTCACACCAGAGACAACTGCAAAGTCATCCGAGGTCTCTCCACTCAGCTGCACCCTCGCTCGCATACCACTGTGCAGACATTCAATTAAACTTACAAACTTACGCGGGCAACCAAACTTACCCAACACCAGCCACAATGCCTCGCGGTTCACCGTATCAAATGCCTTGGTGAAATCAACAAAAAGCGAGTACAATGGCTGGTGTCGTTTTCTGCACTTCTCTTGCAACTGACGAGCCGCAAACACCATGTCTATAGTGCTGCGACCCGAACGGAATCCGCATTGCTCTTCCGCCACGTTAGGTTCCACAACCTGACTGACGAGGCGGTTGAGCAGGATTCGGGCAATCACCTTGCCCACACAACTCAGCAAGTTGATGCCATGATAATTCGTGCAACATTGCCTGCTCCCTTTGCCCTTGTACAGTGGTAGCACAAGTGCATCCTTCAGTTTAGCAGGCACTTCCTCCTCAATCCATACACGTTGCACCAAGTGGTGCAGCGCAGTCAACAACGCGGGTCCGCCGTGTTTCAATACTTCAGGCGGGATCCCGTCGGCACCGGCACACTTGCCGTTTCGCAGCTGAGCAAGTGCCCTCTGCGTCTCATCCAGTGTCGGCGTATCCGCCAGACTCGTCTTCACATCGTGCTGCTTCAGGCCATTCAAAGTAGGCCAGTCGATCTCTGAACGGTTGTTCAAGAGACAGTCAAAGTGATTTCGCCAGATCTGCATTATGTCTGCAGTCTGTGTGCAGGTAGCGCCTGAACTACCATCGATCAGTATCCTCAGCGGCTCCAATCTCGGTCCATACACCGCCTTCAAGGAGTCAAAGAATTCCTTGTGTTGGCGGCGTTTGGCGTAGCATTCCATCTGCTTCGCCTTCTCCGTCCACCATGCATTTTTTATGCGACGGAGCTCTCGGGTCAGTCGCCGTCGAAGTTTGCGGAACTGACTCTTCTTCCCCAAGTCACTGGGATCTGCAACATGTGTAGCAAATGCTGCATTCTTCTCCGTCACCAATGCGCTGATCGTCGCATTGTTGTCATCAAACCAATCAGGCTGCTTACAGTTTGCGCGCCCGATGGTCTCCTCGGCAGCAGCTGTCACCTGGTCGCGAATGTGGTGCCACAGGTCGCTCACTGTGGCCATGCCTTCTACATCACACAGGCGTGCAGCCATCGCCTTCTCCAGCTCAGTACGTTTCGCCACAGTACCAAGGGAGAGAATGTTAACTTTACGCCGCTTCACGGCGGGAGTTCAATACATAGATTTACGAAAATATATGTACAGTTTGGTCCTCACCAATTTGTAATCGGTGCCACACTCAGCTCCACGCAGTACACGTGTCATGCGCACTTCACGTATATCACGCTGACGTACGATGACATAGTCGAGCAGGTGATTGAGACCACTCCGTGGGTGCGTCCAATTTGCTATATCACTCGCACTCAGTACAAACCGAGTGTTCCTGATCGTAAGGCCGTGAGTGGCACACAGTGAGAGCAGCCTGTCACCGTTCGCATTCGCTGAACCAATGCCATGTGGACCGATAACATCTGTCCACATCGATGCATCACGCCCAACGCCCGCGTTGAAATCACCCAGCAGAAATAGTCGGTCGCTCCTCGGCACAGACCGTATCACGGAGGATAGCTCAGTGTAGAACTGATCCGAGTCGTAGGCGAACAGTCATCAGTCGCGCTCTGATGCCTGTTGATTCACACACCAGCTGGCCATTCAGGCGATCGGATATTGCAAATCCGACCCCATGTTCACGTGGTGCTGAGGCGGCGTTCCCCACCCAGTAGAATGTGTAGTCAGCACCTGCTTCCTGCAACTTACCTTGCTCAGCGAGCCGAGTTTCACTGAGCGCCGCAATATCGATGTTGTAGCGCGCCAGTTTCATCGCGACGAGTGCAGTGCGTCGCTCCGGGCGCTCGCTCGAGTTCCGGTCCAGTAGTGTGCGCACGTTCCAGCACCCGATGCTGCGTGCTTTGCGCGCAGGCATACGATTGCATTGGTGGGCATTCGCACACGAGATGGTCGTTGTGCT